CAACAATGACGGCTGCAACCAAAAAATAGCCAGGCGTTGTGGTGGGCGCCTGTGGTCCCAGCTACTTGGGAGGCGGAGGCAGGAGACTCGCCTGAGCCCAGGAGTTGGAGGTTGCTGTGAGCTGTGATGCCACAGCACTCTAGCCAGGGGGACAGCTTGAGGCTCTGTCTTAAAAAATAAATAAATAAATAAATAAACAACAACAACAAAAACCCTTCTAATCTCTTTTTACCCAGATATCAGCCAGGACAAACAAGTAGATATTTCATTGTATCTGGTTGTAAAATCAACTTTTCTCCAGTCATGTGCACAAATGAATTATTTTAGGCATGTCAGAGGACTTCCATTTTGGCCATTGTAATGTGGTGGCATCTTGAGTTACGTGGGCCCCTTTGTTTAAATATCTACAAGATGAGGTTCTGTAGGTGTTAGTTAGACATAAAGCCAGCTGGAGTCTGCAAGGGAGACTGCCTTCTTAGGGAGTCCTCAGACTTGGATGATTTGTTACCCAATTCAGAGACTGAATTACTCATGACCAAGGTCTGGGCAATGTTTTGGGTCTAAATGTGCTGCTTGTGGGTGTCGTTTCTTACTTTGTCATCTCTGAGTCATGTCTGCTCTTTGTTGTGTCTCAGAAGCCTGGGTCCCCAGAGGGTCACAGAGCTCACAGGTGCTTGGTGATCACCCTTTATGTGTGCTCACTGGGAGAGCCAGAGAGATTACAGATGTTCTGAGAAAGGAAACCCTGTAGGCCACTGCGCATTATGCATAAAAGTCCTGACACCTCTGCCAGGTCTCTAATTATTTAGAGTGTCCTAATGGGCCAGTGGGAGCAATTGCTGTTTATATTTGGAGTGAAGAATCCATACTCATAAATTAGGAAAAGAGAACCTAAGAGAGGTTTGTCGTGGGTGAAACAATTCCATTTCCAAAATGAAAGCTCCCAAGGCAACAAGACCTCAGCTGAAAACGAAAACGTAAACTGCTGACTCAAGATGGATGTGTTAGCAAGGGAAAAGAATTCTAATTTCTTGACTTAAATAGCAAAGTCAGAGACAGACACTCTTTTTCTGAGCAGGACATCTCAAATAAAATCTAGATTCATCCAAAGAAAGGGAGGTGTGGATTCAGGAGGGCTCACCTGCAACACCTGATTGGACCTCTTTCAGAGGGAAACACCAGGAAGGTGTGGAGGGAGTGGTTATCTGAATCTTGCAGATTATGCCAGATAAGTCAACTTAACACTTTCCGATCCTAATTTTTCTGCCCAACTCTTATTTATTTTGGGCAGGAAGGAGGTTGGTGGATGGTGGATTACTTTGCCCTTATGAATGGATGGACATCCTGCAGTTTTAAAAGAATAAAACATAAATATGAACTCACCTGATGTTTTTTATTATCTATTTTAGGTTGCATGAAATAATTAAAGTGATTATAATTTTTTTGAGTTGATACTTTTTTTTTTTTGAGACAGTCTCACTATGTCACCCTTGGTAGATTGCTGCGGCATCATAGCTCACAGCAACCTCAAACTCCTGGGCTTAAGCGATTCTCTTGCCTCAGCCTCCCAAGTAGCTGGGACTAAAGGTGCCTGCCACAATGCCCCACTATTTTTTGTTGTTGTCACAGTTGTCATTGTTTAGCAAGCCCAGTCTGGGTTCGAACCCACCAGCCTCTGTGCGTATGGCTGGCGCCCTACCCACTATGTAATGGGCACCAAGCCAAGTTGATACTTCTTAAAGTAATCTCCAGGGTGAAGTCCAGGCTTTCTCTTGCAAGTCTCACAGTAAAAAAAATGGTTTCTTTTTCCACCTTTCTCATTTCTTCTGCTGCAAACCATGCAATCCATTTTGATTTTATTTTCATTTTGCTTTATAAAACACATCTTTCCATGTAGCCTTCTTCAATATTAGAAGATAATGGTCTTCCCCTCTTTCTTAAATTTCTGTTCCTCACATTGCTCACAAGCTGAGTAATGAGATTTCTCTTGACAGAAAGGTAGTCTGCACTTTTTCTCCACTCTATTTAATGAGTAAAGGCTGTAGCCATTCACAGCTCAACTGCAACTTCCATCAGCCAGGAGAATGTTTTCCACCATTTAAAGGACCATCTTATAAATC